GCCGTGCAATGCTGTGCAAATGCTCATGCATGGCCCCGCCCTTATGCCGTACCGTGGTGGACCCCCAAGCCCGCTCGTCGTCGTCGTCGTCGTCGTCGCCTCGGGCATTCGCATACGTATAAAGATGGTCGCCGTCACCCGTTACCTCCCTCTCGGGGATCCCTTGAGGATCCCGTCGTTGTTTTTTGTTTCAAATGCGTTTGGAAAAAAATTCGACGTCGACGTCGTCGTCGTCATCGTCGTCGTCAATGTCGTCGTCGTAACGGGCGGCGCGTGTCACCCGTTACAGCCCTCTCCCCCGCCCAAGAGAGTCTCGTCGTGTGCCCGTGCCGCAGCCGTTTCCAGGCCGAGCTCGTGTTGCCAAAGAGATGGCAAAAAAACTCAAGCTGACGGATTTCGGAAGATCAAGCCATGTCACTTGTTCTGGGATAGCAGCACTCCTGAAACTTGTCAAATCAGATGGATTGCCAGATGCGTTCAGCCCCGCGACGCAGGCGAGGCACAGACAGCGCATCGCTTTTCAGGATACGGATTGGGGGCCACTGCTTCAGAAGGTCGAGCTCCCAGCAACGGACGGCGGCGTTGTTGATGTGTGGGTTCAACACCCGCTCGGATTTTGGCAAGTGGCAGCCGACGAGAACCAATGTTTCAAAGAGTTTCTGACTCGTGTTCTAGATGAGACAAATGGTACTATGTCTTTGATTGCTTACTCAGATGAGATAACGCCAGGCAATGTTTTGGCAGAAAAGAATAAACGAAAGCTGCAAACAATTTACTGGAGCATAAAGGAGTTCAAATATCCAGCATTGAGCAACGAATTAGCATGGTTCACGATATGTTGTTTGAGGTCGACCGAGTGCGATCGGCTCCGTGGTGGGATCAGTGAGGTGTTCAGGCACGTGTTGCGTTTCTTTTTCGGACGACCTGTCCAGCACGATTTAAGGGACGGTGTTGCATTCAAGTTTCGTGGTGGAATGCCGAGGCTCATATTCATGCGCCTCGACATCATTATACAGGACGAGCGGGCGCACAAGTTCAGTTTACACTGTAAGGGTATAGGCGGTCACAAGGTGTGTTTCCTATGCCAAAATGTGTGCAACCATTGGTCATCATACCTCAGATCGGACACCACTGGGTTCCTGGTCAGTTCTCACGAGGTAGACGTGTCGAAGTTCGTCCTTCAGACTAACGCGAGCATCAAGGGCATCCAACGGAGGCTCAAGGAAGTATCAGGAGACTCGGCTCAGCTCAAAGATTTGCAGATTAAGTTCGGCTTCAACTTTGTCCCAACATCCCTCCTCCAAGATTTTGACCTTGATGTGCAGGCAGCCGACGTGGTCAACTGGGACTGGATGCACATATATTTCGTTGAAGGGGTCGCCCTGATTGAACTCAGGGCTCTGATGTCGAACCTTGGCGTGCACAATCTTGGGGGCAAGCGGTTCCACGACTACTTGCAGCATTGGGCTTGGCCAGCGGGCTACAGCCATGGCAAGGACGTGTGCGGGAAGCACAAAGACAACAGTCCAGGGGGAACCGCTTCTGAGCTGATGTCTTGCTTCCCAGTGCTTGCAAAATTTTTAGTTGACATCGCGAGGCCAGCTGGCCATTGCGCTGCCGAGGTGGCCAGTGCCATCTGTCTGTGCCAAGTCGTGGGCTTCCTTTCAATTATCAACAGCGGGCTTGTGTCGCCCGCCGAGCTGGGCGAGACGATTGTCAACCATCTCACTCTCCACAAGGTTGCATATGGCACGGCCCTCTGGAAACCTAAGTTTCATGCCTCGCTGCATTTACCGATGCAGCTGCTTAAAAAAACAGTGCTTCTCTCCACGTTTTTGATGGAGAGGAAACACAGAGTGCTGAAACGGTTCGCGCAGCCGCACCACAACACGACAGCGTATGACAGAGCCTTGTCCGAAGAGGTGGTTGTCCAGCACCTGTTCGACTTACGGGTTCCATTTGTTTCACCTGGCCTGCTGGAGCCGAGGCAGCCGTCGAGGAAACTGATGGCTGCCATCAAAGCCACCCTGAATGTGGATGAAATGCGGGACGAAATTCTCGTTTCTCGGTGTGCTCAGGTGAATTGCAGAGTCGTTGAAGTCGGGGACGTCGTAGCCTGTAGGGCAGGCGACGGCTCAATCTATTTCGGTCAAGTGTATTGCCATGTGCAGCTGAACCGAGCATGTTTTTCTTGCGTTTCACTCTGGACTGAGCTTGCTGCGTGTGATGTCTCCTCGAAGTGCAGGGCTGCGGATCGACCGCAGTTCATTGCAATGGCTGATATCATCGAGCCGTGCATCTATTGGCCAGTTTTGCCAGGCTGCGTCACGCACGTAGTGTTTCCAGCGAGGCTGAAGGTCAGGGCAGACCGCCTCGTGTGAGCAGGGGGGAGGGCAGGGTACGAGGATGCAGCGTGTCTGGGGGAGGGGGTGAGGTCCGAATAAAACAGTAGTTAGGCAGGACGGGGAGCGAACCGTGGTGTTTCCACCCGAGCTTTAAACGTTTGGCGTCGAATACTGGGGTTGTACTTGCCAAGCAATGCGAACAGCATCAGGTCCTCCCACCACCCCCTCCTCCTCCTCCTCCTCCTCCTCCTCCTCCACCTCCTCCCCTTCGCCATCCTCCTCCCTCCCCTCCCCCCTCATCCAAATACTCATCCAAATCCTCCTCCGCCTCATCACCAACGTCCCCCTTCTCCTCCTCCTCCTCCTCCTCCTCCTCCTCCTCCTCCTCCTCCTCCCCCTCCCCACCCCTCCTCCTCCTCCTCCTCCTCCTCCTCCTCCTTCTCCTCCTCTTCCTGTTCCACCATCTCCCCTCCCCCCCGCTCGTCATCTTCCTCCTCCTCCTCGTCTTTTTCCTTCTCCTCGCCCTCCCCCTCCACATCCCATTCGCACCCGCACCCCCGTTCCCCTCCCCCTCCCCCCTTCGCCCCCTCCTGCTGATCCCCCTCATCGTCCTGCTCGCAGTGACCATGCTGGTGCTGCCCGTCTGTTTGCCGCCGTTGACTTTGCTGCTTGCCATCCCTACTTATCTTCCTCGCTCCTGCTCCTCCCCCCCCACCCCTCCCTTCCCCATGGGGGGCTCCGACGGCGCCGAGCGCAAAATGACTTTCTGCCGCAGCCCCAACCCCCAGCTAGATACGAAGTTGCTTGCACTACTGCGCTTGCATCGCCGCGGATTGCATTCACTGGCGGTCGCGCGGGCGCGAGGGCGCCCGACGGTCTCCAAACATGGCGAGGTAAACCATCAGAAACAAAAAAACACAAAAAACATCAGGAACACAATCACAACATCAGGAACACATCGAAAGCAAACACTTCGGAGGTCGACGCGGCGGCGACGAGGTCGCGGCTGCCTCCGAGCGCGCATTTGTTTTTGCACTGCCACCAACAAAATGGCAGAGAGCCCCGTCGCACCCGAAACTGCGGGTCGCCACGGCAGACCAGCTGAGCACTGAACATAAACAAGGGCACGCGTACATAGGCACGATTTCCGAGGCCGCATCACTGACACTAAGTTGACAACAACACATACACAATACTATACCATGTCATATTATATCATATCATAACATAACATATCATAGTATATCATACCGTACCAGCTCAGATCATTTCATATATATATGTATGTATGTATGTATATACATATATATATACACATATACATATAAATACATATATATATATAAATACGTATGTGTATATATACATCACCTCACCATTCCATCCCTCGCCCCTCCTCCACCTCTCTCTCTCTCTCCCTCTCTCCCTGCCCCCCTCTCTCTCTTGCACTCTCCCTCTTTCTCTCCCTCTCCCTCTCCCTCTCTCGCTCTCTCCCTCTCTCTTTCCCCCCTCTTTTTCTGTCAGCGAACCAGGACAGAAACTAGTTGCAACGTGGTTAGCCAACCGCGCTAAACAGGTTAAGTCAGATGGCTAACTTAGTGCTAAATGCGCTAAATACAGATAGCTATATCCGTTAAGTGCAGATAGCTAACCATGGTTAACTTGGATAGCAAACCTGGTTCCAAACACCCCAAACACATTATAAGCACCCCAACTAGTTCACAAACACCGCGGTGATCCCAGTACAAAGATCGGGTCGGGCGAAAGGGGGGGATTGGGAAAGGGGGGGTTTCGAAATTTGCTGCATGCAGCTGGTTTCGGCCTCACCGAGGGGCCCATTCCTCGATACATAGCCGCTTCCGGCGCCGGGAGGCGCCGGTAAAATCAGCTACGCGAGCTGATTCTCAAACCCCCCCTTTGCTATCCCCCCCTTTCGCCCGACCCGAAAAGATGAAGCAGTGGGGCTTGTGGTTTTCACGGCATGTTCTTCTTCGAGCATTTCTGGTCGAGGTTGTCTTGTTTTAACGTATCGGGTCTATGTTCTAAGAACATTGTGCTTGTTCTGAGAAGGTAGAATCAAGACCTGCTCAAAAGGAGGGTGTGGTCACGCCGGGCTGTGGTCTGCGATGGGCGCCGTCTCGGGGCGCCCCAGGGTGCCCCCCAGGGTGCCGGTTGCAAGCCTGTGCAGGCCACACCTTCCCCTCCCCCTGTGCCTCTTGCGCCTCTTTCGTGAACTTCGCACCCCTCCCTCGGCTCGAAAAGAGGAAAACACTGCACGAGCATAACTAAGCTTTCGGAGATCCTCGCGGATTTTCTTGATCGGTGCTGGGGCCCCCGGCGGCGCCTCCGACGCCGCCCCTGGCGAGCTCTGGGAGGGGGGCCCAGCGCCGATCCAAGAAATCAGCGCGGACCTCAGAAACTATGTGATTATGCCGTTGTTTGTTTGTTTATATATATATATACGTATGTATGTATGCTCCTCCTTCGTATTCCTCTCTCGTCCTCCTGCTCCCTTGTCGTTTTTCTCCTCCTCCTCTCCTTGTCCCTCCTCCTGTGCACTCGCTCTTGCCCGCCTCCGCCTAATCCTTTTGCCTGTGCGCTCCTCCTCTTCCTCCTGTCCCACCCCCTCATCATCCACGGCCTCGAGTCCGCAGTATGGACCCTGCTTCTCTTGCACCTTCTGAAAGGCACAGGCTCTGCTTCGACACCATGCGGCACCTAATCCTGAAGGCGCCGTGTTGCATTTAGATTTGGTATGCCGATTTTATGTGGCCAGGTTAATCTTGGCCAGCGTGATGGCGGCTTATGAGAAAGAGATGGAGAAGTGGGATCAGCTAGAGGAGTAAGGGAAGGAGGAGGAGGAGAAAAACGAGGAGGAGGATCCGGAATGAGGACCAGGCGGACGACGGGAAATTTGAAGGAAGACATGTAGGACGATGGATGTGGATGAGGAGGAGGAGGAGGAAGCGCCTCAGCGAGGGATGGCTGAATGATGATGGTGGTTGTGACGGTGGCGACGATGACTTTGATGATGCCACATGTGGCATATCCGCTCGCCGTCCGATCGTGTGGCCTTCCCGCTGTGACACTCGAGAGGCGCACGACTGCTTGGGCCGCGCCGCGACGGCCCGCTGGCGAGGGGAGTGACGACGTGGTGACGAGATTTTTCCGCAGGGAGATATGAGGGCAAGGAGGGGTAGGAAGGAGGAGGACAACGGAGGAGGAGGAGGAGGAGGAGGAGGAGGCGGGGGGGCAGGAGGATGAGGGAAGGATGGTGAAGATGATGATGATGATGATGATGATGATGATGATGATGATGATGATGATGAAGATGATGATGATGATGATGATGACGATGATGATGATGATGATGATGGTGATGATGATGATGATGATGCTGATGCTGATGCTGATGCTGATGCTGATGCTGATGCTGATGCTGATGCTGATGCTGATGCTGATGCTGATGAGGATGATGATGCTGATGCTGATGCTGATGATTATGATGATTATGATGGTGATGCTGATGATGCTGATGATGCTGATGATGCTGATGATGCTTATGACGATGATGATGATGATGATGATGATGATGATGATGATGATGATGCTGTTGCTGATACTGATGATGATGATGATGCTGATGATACTGTTAATGCTGATGATGATGTTGCTGGTGATGATGATGCTGATGATGATGATGGCGACGATTATGATGATGCTGCTGTTGATGAGTGCGATGCCGGCGGTGGTGGTGGTGCCGATGGTGATGATGATGAAGTTGATTACCATGACGATGACGATGCCGATGATGATGCCGTTGCTGATGATGTAAATGGTGATGGCGTTGATGATGATGATGATGATGATGATGATGATGATGATGATGATGATGATGATGATGGTTTTGGCTGCAACGACGACGATGCAACTGGTTATGATGATGGTTGCAATGATGTTGTTGGGGCTCATCATGAGGATGGTGATAAAGCTGGGGTTGGTTATGATGCTAATGATGATGGCGATGATGATGGCGATGATGTTGATAGTAATGATTATGATGATGAGCACGATGATGACGATAATGCTGATGATGACGATGATGCTGATGACGATGGCGATCATCATGACGATGATGATGACGATGCTGATGATAATGTAAATGCTGAGTATGCTGATTATTGGTGATAATGATGATCATAATGATCATGAGGCTTACGATGATGAAGACGTTGATAGTGATGAAAATGAGGGTGATGATGAGGATTATGGTGCTGGTGAAGATGACGATGACGCTGTTGAGGTTGCTTATGATGATGCTGACGTTGATGATGACGAGTACGACGCTGATGATGCTGCTGACGATGATGACGATGATGACAGTGATGGTGGTGACGATGCTGCTGCTGCTGATGATGCTGATGATGAAGATGATGATGACGATGACGGTGATGAGAGTAACCCTTATTATGATGGTGGTGCGGCTTATACCGTTAATGTTGCTGGTGATGATGATGAGTATGATGATGTTGATGATGAAGATGATGATTATGATGATGAAAATTATTTCGATAATGGGTAATAATATGATTATGGTAAGGAAGACCACGAAGATGCGACGGAGGAGGATAATGAGGGGGTGGAGGGGGAGGAGGAGGCGTACGATGCGCCGGAGGCGGAGACGGGGACGGAGATTGAGCGGAGGAGAAGGAGGAGAAGGAGGAGGAGGAAGAAGAGCAAGAGGAGGAGGCGGAGACGGAGGAGGAGGAGCAGGAGACGAGAGGAGGATGAGGAGGAGAAGAGGAGAGGTGGAGGAAGCGGAGGAGGAGGAGAAGAGGAAAGGAGGAGGAGAAGAGGAGAGGTGGAGGAGGAGGACGAGGAGGAGGAGGAGGAGGAGGAGGAGGAGGAGGAGGAGGAGGAGGAACACGAGCAGCAGCAGAGGCAGCAGGAGGGGCAGGCGGGCGGGTGTGGCCCCACCAGGCCGCGGAGCACTACAAGAGGCCCTCCGTCGCGGCCAGCCTCGGGGCCCCGATCTTTGCCGTGCCCCTCAGCAGCGCCTCCAGCGGTCGGCTGCTCTCCACGTTCCCCTCGGTGGGCGCCAGCGGCGGGGGGGGGGGACAGGCAGGCACGGCCTGGGGAGGGAGACGAGGCGGGGAGCGGAGGAGGCTGATGAGGACGATGAGAAGAGAGAGGAAGGGGGTGTGGGATGAAGGGGGCGTTTGAGGGAGGAGGGAGGACTGAGGAGGGTGGAGGGAGGACTGAGGAGGGAGGAGGAGGAATGGAGGAGGGAGGAGGGAGAAGGGAGGAGGGAGTGATTGAGAAGGGGGAAGGAGGACGAGAAGGAGCAGGAGGAGGAGAAGGAAGAGGAGGGAGGCGGGAGAAGGGAGGAAGGAGGAGGGAGGAGGGAGGAAGTCGTCGGGAGGAGCGAGGAGGGAGGAGGGAGGAGGAGGAGGAGGAAGAGGAGGAGGAGGAGGAGGAGGTGGAGGAGGAGGAGGAGGAGGAGGAGAAGGAGAAGGAGGAGGAAGACGGGGATAGGGGGCTGTAGGAGGAAGATGATGAGGAGGGGGAGGTCGGGGGAAGAGGGGGGCGAACCAAGGTACGGTGGAGGAGGAGGGAGGAGGAGGGGGAAAGAGACATACATATAAACATACATATATATAGACAGAGAGAGAGAGAGAGAACAGAGAGAGAGAGAGAGAGATGGACAAAGAGAGAGCAGTGGGGCAAGCTAGGCGCGCTCGCGCCATATCTGACATCCTACCCCTCCCACCCATCCCTTCCCACTGCGCTGATGCTTTCTCTATCCGCCGACGCGTGTCGCACTGGACTGGGAACGCCCACAAGCACCGACCGTTTCATGCGCCATAGTACCGGGGAGTTGCGCACATGAGAGGAGGAGAAGGAGGAGGAGGAGGAGGAGGAGGAGGGGGAGGAGGAGGGGGAGGAAGAGGAGGAGGGGGAGGAGGAAGAGGAGAAGGAGGAGGAGGAGCCAGCGGAAACAGGAGGAGGAAGGAGGAGGACGAGAAAGAACAGCAGCAGAGGGCACCGTAGTGGAAGTAGCGCGAGGAGCAGGTGGACCACGGGATGGCGGGGGAGGGGGTAAGGACGGGAGCGACAACGATGCGGGAAGACTCAGATTCAGAAAAGCGGCCCGCGCTTGGGCGGGAGCCTCATCATGAACGACGGGAGCATAGCCGCGATCCAAAGTGGAGGCCCACGCGGAAGCGGGAACACGATTCCGAAGTGCCAGGAACGACCGGGCTCTCAAGCCGGCCATAAGAATTGACCCATGTTTGGAAGCGGGTGTGCGGAAACGATGCGCGGAGAGGATCGACTGTCTTCTGGACAGGGTCCGGGGAGCGGGAATGCTCGTTTTCATGAGGCGTGCGGTCGGGGACTGTTTTGGACAGCGTGCCGTTCCGCCGTGGCTGGCCCACCACGCGTCGGCGCGACGCGCCATCCATAGGGGGCCACTTGCGAACCCGACTCCTACCCTTAGGTCGTGCCTGTTCCCTCTACAGGAGGGAGTATTCAGAAGTAGTCAAAAAGTAATACGGGGACTATTTTTTTGACTGCGTTGGATCCTTTTTGGAGCATGTTTGGGGTATTTCTGATTTTTCGTCCAAGATCCCCCTGAAGGGGGACATGCCCGACTTAATCCTGCCCCCCCACGATTTCTAGGGGGGAGGGTGGGGTCCACTTCGCTCGCGAGCTCCCGAGCGAAGTGGACGAAGTGGACCCCGCCCTCCCCCTGGGGCCATCCGCGGGCCCCTGGGGACCGTCATGGCACGGGCTCGGGCTCGGAGAAGGGGGGAGGAGGAGGAGGAGGAGGAGGAGGAGGAGGAGGAGGAGGAGGAGGAGGAGGAGGAGGAGGAGGAGGAGGAGGCAGTGAGGAGGAGGAGGAGGAGGAGGAGGCAGTGATATGGAGGAGGAGAGGAGGAGGAGGAGGAGGATGAGGAGGAGGAGGAGGAGGAGGGGGGGGGCAGGGGTGGGGTTCGCACGTGGCCCCCGGATGCACTTCCCGGTCCCCCGGCGTCAGCGTCCCGAGCCTCTTCGAGCCTGCCGCCCCGCGGAGAAGAGCAGCGCGCTACCCGCTTGCAGGGCACAGCGTGTTGCCGGGGTCGCCGCCGCGGCGTGCTGAGGAAATGCTCGCGACCGCAATTGCAGAGAGGGGCGGATCGGGAAGGATAGAGGAGGGAGGGGTGGGGATGGGGATGGGCATGGCGATGGCGACGGGGTTGGGAATGGGGAGGATGAGCATGAGGATGAGGCAGAGGATGAGGATCATGATGATGAGGATCACGATGCTGATGCTTATCATTATGATGATGATGCTGATGATGATGCTGATGATGTTGATGATGATGTTGATGATCATGATGATGATGATGATGATGATGATGATGATGATGATGATGATGATGATGATGATGATGATGGTGATGCTGATGATGATAGTGATGCTGATGATGATGCTGCTGATGCTGCTGATGCTGATGCTGATGCTGCTGCTGCTGCTGCTGATGATGATGATGATGATGATGATGATGATGATGATGATGAGGTTCGTGCTCGTGCAGATGATGCTGTTGCTGGTGATGCTGATGCTGATGCCGATGATGAGTACGATGACGATGCTGCTGATGATGCTGAGGCGCAGAAGGAGGAGGATCATGATATGATCGTTGTGAGGGTGGTTGTGATGAGGCTGCTGCTGATTGTGATTATGCGGAGGATGGCGATGTGATGATGAGTAGGTGAAGGAGGCATCTGATGATAATGACTGAGGCTACGTGTGCGTACGCCGACGTGCATGACATGGAGCAACATGGGAGGAGTATCACGAAGTGTGGGGTGCTGAAGATGAAGAGGAGGCGACTGAGGATGCGGCGGACGAGGAGGAGGAAGTGGAGGAGGAGGTGGAGGAGGAGGAGGAGGAGGAGAAGGAGGAGGAGGTGGAGGAGGATTCGAGGAGGATGCGACGAAAGGCGAAAGGAGGAGGAGAGGAGGAGGAGGAGGAGCAGGAGAAAGGACGGAGTGTGGGGTGGAGCTTTCCCCCCTCCCCCTCGCCCCTCCCCGTTCCTCCCCCCCCCCCCCCCCCCCCCTCCCCCCCCCCCCCTCCTCCGCATTCTCCTCCTGGCCCCTCTTCGCCTTTCCTCTCCGCTCCCCCTTCTCCTTTCGTCGTCTTCGCCTCTCCCCTCCAAGCGGGCAACAGTCGATGGAGTCGTTGGCTCCTCGGCGCGTGGTTGGGGGGTCTACACCCATACAGAACCGACCACGTTGATTACCCGCAGTGTCCACTACATCCCTGTGCTCACCGAGCTCCTGGTGGGCAGACCTTTCTGTAGGAATCGCGTCCACGCCCCCCTTTTCCCCGTCGTCGTTCCTCCCTCCTCCTGGTCTCTCCGCCCTCCTTCTCCGTCTCCCCTCCCCCTCTTCTTGCCTCCTCCTCCTCCCCCTTCTCCCCTCCCCCCTCCCCCTTCTCCTCCCCTGCCCCTTCTCCTTGCCTCCTCCCCCTCCCCCTCCCCCTCCCCCCTGCCTCGCTCTCCCTGTCCGCCTTTCCGCCCCCTCACCTTCCCCACCCAGCACCCCAGCGCCCCTCGAGGTGGAGCCCTCCACCCTCGTGGCCGAGTGCGGGGGCTGCCTCCTGCGGGCCGAGCGCGCGCCCTCGCGCGCCCTTGCTGGGCACGACGCGGGGGACGACGGCGGCGAGCCCGGCGTGCGGGGCTCAGCGGTCACGTGTTTTTTTTAGTGTTGAGTTTATTAGTTTGTTGTTGGTGGTGTGGTTGATGTTGTTAATGTTGTTGCTGCTGCTGTTGTTGTTGGTGTTGGTACTGTCGTTGGTGGTGGTGCTGGTGGTGGTGGTAGTGAAATTGCTGTTGTTGGTGATGATGTTGTTGTTGCCGTTGGTGTTGGTGTTGTTGTTGGTGTTGGAGCTGGTGTTGGTGTTGTTGTGGTTGTCTGCGTTGTTGTTAGTGTTCTTATTCGTGTTGTTGCTAAATCGCGCTCTCGCGTGGGCTTTCCTCGCAATTTAGTTACTCAAGCGACGCGCCCTCGACACTCATGAATCACGCTCTCGCTGTGGATTTCTTTTACGATTTACTTGGGAATCGCGCTATCGTTCGAGAGTTCCTCGCGACTCATGCAGTGCGCATGCTTCAGCAACACGCCTTCTCGACCTGGCCGCTTGGGCCCGCCTTCCCGACCCGCCCGTTAGGGTCTACCCGCCCGGTCAGCCCGTCTGGTTCTGCCACGTGTTTTCTGTTCCTCGCTCCCTCCTGCTAATCCCGTGCTCCATCCTTTTCCTTCCCCCTTTCATCCGTCCTCGCTTCTACACTTGTAGGGGCTGTGCCAGTGACACGCCGCAAATAAAGAAGAGTTGCCCCCCAGGGGAGGTACGATCGAAGACGAAGAAGGTCGGTACCGAGGGTTTGGTGTATACGTGTTGAATGAATGACACGCGAGCAGGTAAGACCGAACATTTATACAACGATCGTTATTGTTGTTGTTGTCGCCGCTGCTGTTAGTGTTGTTGGTGTTAGTGTTGTTGTTAGTGGTGGTGGTGGTGGCGCTGGTGTTGTTGTTGTTGTTGTTGATGTATTTGTTGTTGTTGAACATTATTCCTTCTAAAGAATTATTATTGTTGGGACCCCTGGTGCGCGACCTCTGCGCCGCGCCTAGGCCGCAGCTACATTTTCATCATTTTTTCGCGAAAGCTTCAGAAAAGTGGATGAGCTCCGGATCCGGTTTTTTGTTGACGCTCGTTTTCCCTTGCAAAAAACAATAGAAAATGAAAATTCTTGTTTTTACTTGATCAAATTGCAAGAATCCCTTGCAAAAAATAAGGTAAAGTGGACATTCGTGCGCGCAAGACGAAATCCTTCCAAAACCTTAGGTTTCGTAACGATTTTAACATAAAAACATCAAAAACCCAATGGTTTTCTCAGAAAAAATTGTCAAAATGTCCTTCCGCGCGCTCTTGCGGATTCCTAGGAAACCCACCAGATTTTAAACATTTCTGTTAAAAGGGCCTTTGCGAGGAACCTTTTCAGGTGCTTCGACCTTCTGCAACAACGGTTGCGAGCCTACGAGGGCCACCATCCCTTGCAAAAAATGACACGAAGTGCACATGCGCGCGGCCGCCGCGCGCGCGTGCCGAAATCCTGCCAAACATAATGTGATTTCAATAATTTCAAGATGCGATGTTCCGAAAACATATGCAAACGCAAGACTTTCTCATCCGAAAAATATCAAAATCCACCCGCGGGCTCTTCATGAATCTTTAAAACCCAAGATGGCCCCAAGAGGCGCTCAAGATGGCCCCAAGAGGCGCCCATGAGGCCGCAAGAGGCGCCCAAGATGGTCCCAAGAGGCCCCAAGAGGACTCCAAGAGGCCCCCAAGAGGTTCCAAAGAGGCTCCAAGTTGGCTCCAAGAGGCCCCCAAGATGGCCCCAGGAGGCGTCCAAGCGGCTCCAAGAGTCCTCCGGGAGGATCCAATAAGCCCCCAAGAGGCCCCAACATGCTTTCAAGAAGCCCCCCAAAGCCTCTCAAGAGGACCCCATGCGGCGCCAGGAGGCTTCCCCCCTTCCCCAAGAGGACCCCCAGCGGCCCCAGGAGGCTTCCCCCCTTCCTCTCACGCTCATATCCGTAGCCATCTCGGATCAAGGTATCGCCTGTGTTCTTGGATCATGGCTTTGACGGCGAAAGACCTTCACGAGCAGTATGGCGCAGAGCTGTCCCGGCCTCCCTTGGCCGACTGCGAGAGTGCGTATTATTTGCATCAGGCGCTCGCGGCAAAGGGTATCAATGCCAGTCACCAGGCGTGCAAGACTTGGTGGGCCAAGTATCGGGTTGTGACTGGCAAGGTCAGTATTTCTAGCGCCAAGGAGCTGGAGGAGCAGCACGGGTCTGCCATCCGCCACCTGGGCATCGAGTATAATACCGCTTACAAATTATGCCGGGCGCTCCGACAGTTGGATCCACCACTGTATGTGCCAGATAGGGTCGCAACGGCGTGGCTACTGCAGTATTCATCGAAAGACACGCTTGTCCAAGTGCAGAACGCTGGCCATCTGGAGAGCTGGTATGGAGAACGTATTCGCAAAGACATGCCCGAGGGGACCACTGACGGGGCCGTCTTGAAGCAGTGGCTCCTTGGACATTTATCTGTATCTGCTAACGCCAGGGTATGCCAGAAGTGGCTCAGCACGGAGTGGGGCGCCAAGGGGGCACTCAACACTGCCCAAGCTGTGGAGGAATGTATGGGCGAGCGTCTTCGACTCAATCAGTATCGGGAGAGCTTCGCCGACGATGCCGCCGCGGAGGTCCTCTCGCAGCTTCTCTCGGAGAGCGATCCTCCCGTCGCTGTCAGCGGTATGGTTTTGAGGCAATGGTACGTGAAGTATCACCCTGACTCTGGACCTTTGCAGTACGACACGGCCGAAAAGCTCAACGCGGCACTTGGTGACCACATGCGCGATGTATATCCAGGGCTGAAGTACCACACGTTGCATACCGTGTTGCGTATGCGACGGAAAGCTGTCTTGGTGTCCCGATCAGTGTTGAGAAAGTGGTGCGATGTGTATGCGTCGGTGGGCTCCTCCGTGCAGGCGGCGGCTTCATCCGCCCAGGCCGTCACCAAGCGTGTATTGAAGCGCCCGGCGGCACAGGTCGCAGGCGGTGTATTGAAACGGCCAGCCGCCGCCGGATCTGCCCGCGTGGCCAAACGGCCTGCCGCGGTCGACGCGGAGGAGCCCGTATCCAAGCAGCAGGCCACGGCAGCTTCTTCCTCCACAGATGTGGTTCGTATGACGCTGATGACGGTGGAGGCTCTAGAGGCGGCATGCGGCAAGCGGTATCGAGAGGAGGTCTCCGACCTGGGCCTTGGCCTCGACTACCGGAATATGCAGGTGCGTCTGAAGGCCTGGGGGTATGAGACGGGTCCGAATGTCTGTCGAGAGTGGCTTGGCAGGTATCGCCTCGGAGACGGTGCCAAACACGGCAATTGCGCCGTCTACGCGCTGTCGCGCAGGGACCTTCCGTGTACCACATCTTCTCAGGTTGCCTCACACATGTGACGAATCTCTTTCTATCTCTCTCTCCACTGGCTCTCTGTCTTGCTCTCTCTCTCTCTCTCTCTCTCTCTCTCTCTCTCTCTCTGTCTCTCTGTACTATGTATGTCATACGCAACAAATGCACCATGCGGGGCACATGCGGGGCCCAAACAAGTGATCAACCTCTGCGGGTGTGTACTCCACGCCAGTGTAGTATCCACGATCGTCCGCGCGCCACGAAGTGAAGTGTCCTGACGTCATAGGGCGGGAAGCTGGGTGTGGGTGGTTCCCGAGAGTCGTGTGGATGTTTGGTAGAGCTTGCATTGCCCCCCCACGAAGTGGGGGTATTGGCTGGCGTCGCATGAAAACCCTGGCACTGGGGAGAACACTGAGCGTTCGGGTAAAATGATTGCTGTTGTTGTTGTTGTTGGTGGTGGTGGTGGTGGTGCTGCTGTTGTTGTTGTTGATGTTGTTGTTGTCGCCTTTGTTGTCGCCGTTGTTGTTGCTGTTGTTGTTGTTGTTGATGTTGCTGTTGCTGTTGCTTTTGCTGTTGTGTTTGATGTTGAGTGGCAATTGCTAAACAATTATTATTGTTGGACTCCCCCCAGGCGCCCTGGCGCTCTCGCCTCGGCCCCGGCTACATTTTCATTGATAACGAGGCTCACGCTCGAGCGGTTCTGGGGGGGCGCCGAAACCGGCCCCCCAACAACAACAGCGCTCCCGCTCGAGACCTCCTTTCTGTTGCCCAGAGCCAGTGCTCTTGCTCGCCGCCGAAAACCGCCGCCCAAACAAAGCCAACGCTCCCGCTCGAGACTTCTTCCCGTGTTACCTTAGACTGGCGCGCTACTCTTGTTCTCACCCAGCAAGAAAAACGCTCCCGCTCGAGACGTCCTCCTGCTTTTACTCAGAGCTGGTGTTTTTGCTCGCCGCCGAAAGCCGCCGCCCCAACAAAACCAGCGCTCCCGCCCAAGACGTCCTCCCGTTTTACGCTGGACTGGCGCCCAACTCTTTAAATTTGGTAATCAATCATTTTTTTTTGGACCACCCCAGGCGCTCTGGCGCTCTCGCCTAGGCGCAGGCTACATCTTCGTTGAAAATGAGGCTCACGCTCGAGCGGTTTGGGAGGGCGCCGAAACCGGCCCCCCAACAACAACAACGCTCCTGCTCGAGACTTCCTTTTTACCCAGAGCCGGTGCTCTTGCTCGCCGCCGAAAACCGCCGCCAACACAAAACCATCGTTCCCGCTCGAGACTTCTTCCTGCTTTACCTTGGACTGGCGCTCTACTCTTGCTCTCATCGGCGCCGCCCCGCTCCCGCTTGAGAGTTATTGCTTTTTTTACTCAGAGCCAGTGCTTTTTGCTCGCCGCCGAAAACCTCCGCCCCAACAAAACCAGCGCTCCCGCCCGAGACTTCCTCCTGTTTTACGCTGGACTGGCGCCCAACTCTTTTTTGAATTGGCGCCGCCCCCAGCAAGAACAACGCTCCCGCTCGAGGCTTCCTCCCGTTTTCCTGAAGACTCAAGACTGTGCTGTTCCTCGCCGTCGACAGCCCCCGTCCCGACAAGACCGCGGCTCCCGCTCGAGACCTCCCTTCTTACTCAAGGCGGTGTTTCTCCTCGCCGCCGACAACCGCCGTCCCAACAGAACCAGCGCTCCCGCTCGAGACTTTGTGTTGTTTCACGTTGGACTACCGCCCGACTCTCTTCTGCATTGGCGCCGCTCCCAGCAACAACAGCACCCCTGCTCGAGACTTCCTTCTTTTCTATTCAGGGCCAGGTCCTTGCCTCGCCGCCGATAGCCCCCATCCCCACCAAGCCAATACTGTCGCTTGATATTTCATTTTGCTTTACCCTTGGATGGGGCTCCACTGGCCGTCTCGCATTGGCGCAGCAGGGGGCGGGCATGTGTTTTCGAGGCGGGATATGTTGAAATTCATCGGAGGAGGTGTTTGCAAGACCACTTTGGGCGGGAGATCTGGGAATGGGGATACCGGACCCCCGCGATAGAACAATGATCCCCCATGATGGGGATGCTTATCATGATGGCAGCATGCTGCGTGTGGAAGCATCGCGCATGAGGGTAAAATGATTGTTGAACTTACGTTATTGAAAAATGATTATTGTTGATCCCCCTGGGGTGCACAGTGCATTTTCAATTGAAGTGCCCCTCCCAGCGCTCGCACCCTGTATTCTATCAGGGAACGTCTTCCGCCTCAAACTGTGCCCCTGGCCCCCGGTCTACAACAACAACGGCTCCTGCTTGATACTTCCTCCTAATTTACTCTGGTCCCCCGCTCCCGCTTGAGACTTCCTTGCAATTTACTCCAGAATCGCGCTCCCGCCTGAGACTTCGTTGCAATTTACTCAGGCGCCGCGCTCTTGCCATTCAGGACTCGCGCGTTCGCTGGGGACTTCTTTACCTTTACTTCTGAATCGCTCTCTCGCTGGAAACTTCCCGGCTATTCACGCAGAACTCACGAAGAAGTATACCCACCGAGAGTGGCATGATCGAAAACGAAGAGGGCGAGTATCGAGGGTTCGGGAAATGCACGCTGTATCGCACTCGAGCAGATGAGAGCGAACAGTCTCAACATGATTGTTGTTGTTGTTGTTGTTGCTGTTGTTGTTGTTGTTGTTGTCGGTGTTGTTATTGCTGTTGTTGTTGAGTTCTCATAGAGAAACAGTAATTACTGCTGATAGCCACGGTAACCATTGTATTTGTTCGATTGAAGTGCTCATTCTGGCAGGGCTCGAGCTAAACGGTGTTTTGGCAATTTCGTGGACCGTTTTCGTTTTGACTTCGTTTTGCAGCAAATGTGGAACGAAGACAGAACTAGGGATGACGAAAACAAAACGAGAACGGAAAACACTGTTTAACTCGAGCCCTGCCTTCTGGGGTTCACACCCCGTTTTTTACAAGGGAAGGTGAGGTGTCACCAAACTGGGCCCCTGGCCCCTGAGTTACAACAACGGCTCCCGCCAGATACTTCTTCACACTGTATTCACACATCGCACTCTCGTGCGGGACGTCCTCACAATGTATGCAGAAATCGCGCTCTCGCGTGAGACTCCCCAGCAAGTTCTTTAGACGCCGCGCCCTCGACACTCATGAATCACGCTCTCGCCGTGGTCTTTCTCACGATTCACTTGGGAATCGCGCTACCGTTCGAGAGTTCCTCACGATTCATGCAGGACGCACGCTTCAGCAACCCGCCTGCTCGACCTGGCCGCCGGGGCCCGCCTGCCCGACCCTCCCGTTAGGGCAATTAGGGTCTACCCGCCCGGTCAGCCCGTCTGGTTCTGCCTTGTGTTTTCTGCTTCTGGCTCCCCTTCTACTACTCCCTCTCGTGCTTCGTCCTCCTCACTCCCCCTTGTCCTTTCCTTCCATCAGTCCTCTCTTCCCATGCCGTAGGGGCTGCACGAAATACACGCTGCAGGAAAGTAAGATATGCCCCCAAGGGGGTGCGATCGAAAACCAGGAGGACGGTTATCGAGGGTCGGGGCTATACGTGCTGAATGGCTGAGCGAACAGTCTTAAACTGATTGTTGCTGTTGTTGCTGCTGTTGCTGTTGCTGGTGCTGTTGCTGTTGCTGCTGTTGTTGCTGTTGTTTGGGTTGCTGGTATTGTTGATGCCTTTGGTGTGATCGTTGTTATTGCTGGTGTTAGTGTTGATCTCACTGCTGTTGTTGATATTGCTGTTGGTGGTGTGAGGTTGGTGTTGGTGTCGATGCTGTTGTTGTTGTTATTGTTGTTGGTGTTGTTGTTAATGTTGTTGTGTTTGTTGCCGTTGTTGTCGGTAGTAGTTATGTTGTTGTTATTGTTGTAGAAGTCGCCCTTCTCAATACTAGTGTTGTTGATTCCCCCATCCAGGGCACATCTTATTCCCACCCCTCCTTGTTTGGTAGAGCACTGCGGTCTCCACTTCTTCATCTCCTTCTCCTCCCGCCTCCCGCCTCCCGCCTCCGTTTTGTCTCCTCTCGCCTCGTGCACACCTCTTGTGTATGTATCTTGCCTGAGGTGTCTGTCTCCGACCTCGCCGTCACTGGGGGGGGGCTGCGATCTGCGAGACTGTCGCCACTTTCGAGGGCTGCTGGTGGGTCTAGCGGAGCGAGGCACCGCGCGGATCTGAGCGAGACCTCGCCGTCCCTGGGGGGCTGCGATCTGCGAAGCTGTCGCCACGTAGGGCAAACGGAGCGAAGCACCGCGCGGGTCTGAGCGAGACCTCGCCGTCCCAGGGGGGCTGCGATCTGCGAAGCTGCTGCCACTTTCGAGGGCTGCTGGTGGGTCCAGCGGAGTGAGGCGCCGCGCGGATCTGAGCGAGGCCTCGCCGTCCCTGGGGGGGGGGGGGGGGCTGCGATCTGCGAAGCTGCCGCCACTTTCCAGGGCTGCTGGTGGGTCTAGCGGAGCAAGGCACCGCGCGGATCTGAGCGTGACCTCGCCGTCCCAGGAGGGCTGCGATCTGCGAAGCTGTCGCCACTTTCGAGGGCTGCTGGTGGGTCCAGCGGAGCGAGGCACCGCGCGGATCTGAGTGAGACCTCGCCGTCCCTGTCGTCATTTTCGAGGGCTGCTGGCGGGCCCAGCGGAGCGAGGCACCGCGCGGATCTGAGCGAGACCTCGCCGTCCTTGGGGGGGCTGCGATCTGCGAAGCTGTCGCCACTTTCGAGGGCTGCTGGTGGGTCCAGCGGAGTGAGGCACCATTGGATCCGCTTCGAAAGTCTGGTCAGAACGCACCCCGAGAGACGTTTGGGGGGTAGCGGTATCCTGCGGCACGCACCGGTTGGCTCCCCAGCTGCATCCTCCAGCACCGCCGGATCTAAGAGGCTGCCTTCCTTCACGCTCAGGCAAGCTCACTGGCATGGCATCGCCCCCCCCCGCCGCCGTGTCAAGTAGCTCTGGGCCGACTCCAGGCGTGCCGTAGCAAGCTCACCGGCGTGAAGGTTGGATTTCCTTTCGGGCCTCGCCACGCCCAGCCTGCCCTCCTCCATGCAAGCAAACCTGTCAGAATCTAAATAATAACCGCCACCATCGGGCGGGGCAAGGATCAGGAGAGAGAGAGAGAGAGGAATTGCACAAAAAACACACACACACAGACACAATGAATCGTCAACTCCAAGGACACAATTGATCGACAACTCCTTGGCTCCTCCATGCAAGCATACCTGCCAGGACTTGTTGACGCTTCGCGAGTCCCCGCCAGCCCATTCAGAAGCCCGGCCCACGAGAGCTGACGGGAATGCGGGAAGTGGAAAGCAGAGACGCATATATTGAAACGGAGCGGTCAAAGAGAGGAGGGGGAGGAACGTGTTGAGCCATGTTGGAGATTATCTTGGAGCATGGGAGGCCTTCTTGGAGCTATGGGGAATCTAAAGAAAAACCTCCCACCATCGGGCGGGGCAAGGATAGCGATAAATCGTTCCAGAGCGTTTCGAAACGCATCCAGAGTGTTCCGGGACACTCTGAGAAGGCCGCGGCGCCCGCTGCGTCTTCCAGAGGGCCGCTGGACGTCGGAGGTTCCCGATGTGTCCCTGCCTGGATTTTCCGAGGGGGGAATTTATGCATGACCACCGCCTGGAGGATCGATTTTCGGGGACCGGCAGGCGGTGGACCCGGGGCCAAAATCTATCCATATCCACCGCCCGCTGGGGCACCAGGACGTCGGTTCCCAGGCGGTTGATATAGATAAGCCCCCCCCCCCTTGCAGCTCTGTCCTGGCCCTGGCCTCGCCTCACGCCAGGAGCGCGCCGCCACGACCTGCTCAGCGGCCACCGCTGCGTGCACTGCTCCGATCTGTCGTGGCCCGATGCTGTCCCGGCGCCGAGGCCCAGTGAGGGCCCCTGGAGGCCGAAAATGAGAAAAAACTCTCCGTGGTGATAGCAAAGACCTCTACCCCCTGCAGGCGACCCTGCCAGAATCCAGAGACAGGCCGCCTCTCAGGGATATCCCCGAGCTGTCCTGGCCCGATGCCGTCCCGGCCCTGGCGTCGTCTCCCCCCCCACCTTGGTAGTCCCCAAACGTGGTGGTGACAACACCTGGCGGTGAGTCTCGGGCGATTTGGTGTCACCACCCGGTTTGTGGGGACTCGTGCGGTTTTCCGAGGATGTCCCGAACACTGGTGGGTCCAGGAGTCACAAAACCCGGTGGTGACCCCGTGTCCCCAAACCCAGCGGTGACCTTATTGGGGATTCCAGGCCGCCACCTGGTATCTCACCACCCGGTTTGGGGGTCCCCAACCCCACCCCTTCCCAGCCGAGGCCTGGAGCCCCTTCGCGCCTGGCAGCCCGTACGAGTACAGCGTCACGCTGCTCGAGAGGTTCCAATTCGCGCGGGCGTGACCCGCCGCCGCGTCCGTCCAGGCCCACGGGAGCAGCACCGTCTCACGGGCCCCCACCGGCGTTTTCGGGAGACACGAGGAGGAGGAGGAGGAGGAGGAGGAGGAGGAGGAGGAGGAGGAGGAGGAGGAGGAGGAGGAGCAGGAGCAGGAGCAGGAGCAGGAGGACGAGGACGAGGACGAGGACGAGGAGGACGAGGACGAGGAGGACGAGGAGGACGAGGAGGACGAGGAGGAGGAGGGGGAGGAAGAGGAGGATTTTTGACATCCACGATGCAGCCCCACAGGCCCAAGCTATCAGACCGCCCAGGCAGAACGCCTAGAAGATGTTGCAAGAGCACGCCCCGCGCCCCCAGCTTCAGTGTTCACCGAGTCGCGCAGTCTGCGCCTTGCACGGGCGGGCGTGTGTTCTTTTCCGAAGCGACTCGCGCTCCCCGGCATCGAACGCTCCGAACTGGGCCGCGGGGTCGGGGCCCGCTTCTCAACACGCATTGGAGATGGGCGTCTTTGTTCGAAAACCACGGTGCCCCCATCCCCATCCCCATCAGGACCCCCACCACCTCCCCTCCCCCAGTTGGGGATCTGCCCCTCGAAGCCCGAAGGAACGGCCTACGGGGGTGAATCGGCCAGTGGGGCCCAGGCCACTTGGCGCCAGGGGTCGGATAACCGATGCCGCCCCGCAGCCCCTCCGCAGCACAACGGGCGCGCTCGGGGCCTCTCCGAGGCCTCCAGGGGCAGTCGTGGGAGGCGCTCGAGGGCGTCGGGAGTCGTCCAGAAGCCTCGCCTGTCCCGCTTTTGCCCCGCTCCTCCCTCACTCCTCGCTCGCTCCCCCACTCCTCCCTGCCCCCTCCCACCTCCCTCCTCCCTCCTCTCCACTCCGTCCTCTCTCATCCCTCCCTCCTTGTCCTCCTCCCTTCTTGTCCTCCTCCCTCCGTGTCCTCTTCTCTGCCTCCTCCCCCTCCTCTTCCTCCTCGTCCTTCTCCTCCTCCTCCTACTCCTTCCACTCCTGAGTGTACTCGTCCGATCTCCCTCTCCGGCGCTGATAACAAAGTTAACCATGCGGCCCAGAACAAGCCGCTCGCGTACGTGGTCCAGGTATCCACGATGATTTCGAATAGGTTTGATTAAAGACAGGCGCCTCGCGTCCCTGGAAGACCACAGAGCACATCGGCACGCACGTCTGTTCCACGACCACACGACGGCACTTTCGCCGCTGGAGCACTCGTGCATCCATTGGGTGTTGGAAGCATGCATGAACGTGCCCAGGTTTGTCGGGGAGACGATGTGAGATTGACACGAGAAGGAGCGGATTCGACGTGTTTTTCTTTCGGAGTTTGTGCCGAGAGGCGATCCCCTTCTGTCGTCGGATTCGTCAAGGGTGCCCGATGCCTGGGAGCATTCTGGCGTTGGCTGTCGATCCTGTCCTGCGCCTTCTGCCTTCTGGCTTCTCCGGAGGAGGACAGCCATACATATCGACCCTTTCACTTCCCCTCCCCCACCTGAGTAAGCTGTGATCAAGCAGAGTACGAGGGATAGGTGGAGGTCTGAGGTGGACTTGTGTAAACATTTGATTCCCACTTCTCGTCTCCCTTGTGGACTCGCGTCGTAAAACCAGAAAGGCGAGAACGCCCAAGTCCTTCAACAACCTCAGGAACATCAATGATGTCTGCCTCTTGAGGCCCTCTTTGGAGGCCTCTTGGGCGTCTTGGAGGCCTCTTGCGCCATCTTCAGGCCATCTTGGGCGTCTTGTGCCGATCTTTGGGCGTCGAGTTGTCCTCTTGGTACGTCTTGGGGGCCTCGTGCGGCCCTCTTGGCCAATCTTGGGGCCTTATTAGGGCGACGAACATCAAGCGCCGCCACTTCCCAAAGCCCAGAGGGCACTCGGGAAGCCACAGGAGATGTCGGAAATTGGGGTCTGGGCCCCAGAACCTTCTTCAAGATTGAGAACTGAGGCTCAAGGGATTGGGCAAAGGACCTGAGGACATGCCACCTCCGTGCCCAGCGGCACGGTAGCAGATATTCCAAGTCACCTCGCGAGCAGCTGGCCTGTAACCGAGCGTGGAGAAGTCTGATCGATCTCCCGCGCACTCGCGAGCAGCTGGCCTGTAACCGAGCGTGGAGAAGTCTGATCGATCTCCCGCGCACTCCGTCAGATTCTTACGCCTTACGTGGCTGCCCAATTGCGTGACATCGGCTTGGACGAAGGCCGTTACCGCACTGCGGCCTCTTGCCTGGGGGTTGTTGTTGGGGAGGTGGTCGCCGTGAGTCTCGGATCGCACCTCGTGCTCAGTGTCTGCCCCGTGCAACGGGCACACGTTGCTTACACCTTGGTCTACCTGAAGCCCTCGCTCGCTGATCATGTACCACATTGTCCAGTTCTACAGGCCCGCGACAGCGGCTGTCAAGATGCAGCGAGTTGTGCTTGATATGTTCATGATTTATCAGGTCTTGGCTTGAAATCACCGCATACGAAGTGTGTTACCCGAGTGGCACTGGTATTCAGGGTTGCGACGCGCTCTGCCGCGTATCATTGAATATCCTAGGGCGATCGGGAAACATGATTGCGCTGTTGCCTGGAAATGGAGCGGTGTATGACGAGACCTCTATATATCCCCTTTCGGCTCAAATTAGTTGCAAGCTTCTCAATAGCATCCATACAGTGCCTCACGCTTGATCCTCCTGCTTCAGGGACTCATTGAGAGGGCTCTTCAGTGGGATCGTGGCTTATCTAGTTGCGCTGTGGTTCGCTGGTGCGCCCAGCATTTTGTCAAGTGTTCACCGCGACGGAATTTCTCGCGATGCTTGGGACATCGCCGCGAAATTGGTCCCACCACATGTCTGTAACGCTTGGTGCACGTCCACGGGTCGTGGCAGCGACCGCCACTCGTGCCATTTCTGCAGGTGTTCTTTCTGAGGGCGACCACCTCGTTCACTACCTGTAGTGCACGGCCGTCGAGCTGCTGCTGCCCCGCCTCCGCCTTGCATCTCTTGGTCCCCCCGCTCCGCACCTGACCTCTCTTGCGCGGCTCTCCTCCCCCTGGCCCGCCTGTCTCTGATCCTTTGCTCTTACTTGCGTTTGCGTTGCTGTTTGCCTTTTGGCCCTATCATAACTGTGTGCCGCACATTCAGGGACCGCGGCAGGGTAGGGGGGAAGGCCTCTTGCCCACCCGGCCCGCAGCAGAGTCAAACATCCAATCCCGCACAAGCCCTCGTCCGCTGTAGACACCAGGGACTGAGCCATCTGTACACACCTGTTATTTCACGGGTGCGTGTTGTCTCGTAGATTTCTCGTCCTTCGGTTGCCTTGCCCTCGGTGCTGGTAGAGCCTGCCCGGCATTCCCGCCCCAGGGGCAGCGGACTCTTTTTTTTCGTCTTTCGCTCTTGGCCGTCCGTCCTCTCTCTCTCTCTCTCTTTCTCTCCACCTCTCGGCGAGCTGTCGTGCGTGCTGCTCGTCGCGTGAGGCTTGAGGCTAATGGTTAAGGGGGATGCGCCCATTTAATAGACCCCACCCCATGGGCCCTGAAAATACGGTCGGACCGAGGTATAAGATCGAGGTCGGTTCGGGGAGGGTGGTACCCTGACGTCGTTTGTGCCTGTTGGATGTTCTGACGTACCCTGGGGGAGGGTACCCTCGAACGCTCTCTCCAGCTCAGTCTGGCCAGTGGAGGTTCTCATGCTCTCGAAGGATGTGCCTCTGTCCCGGTTCTGGCCGCAGTGATTCTGCACCCTGGCGCAGCTCTCGTGCGAGCGGGCACGGGGGGGGGGGAGCACGGCCGCTGCTGTGGCCCCTGTTCGGGCCGGACGAAGGGGGGGGATAGGGAAAGGGGGGTGGTACGACATTTGCTGCATGTAGCTGGTGTCGGTCCCCTCGACGGGCCCATTCCTCGATACGTGGCCGCCTCCGGCGCCAGGAGGCGCTGGGAAAATCAGCCACGTGAGCTGATTCTCAAACCCCCCCTCTGCTATCCCCCCCGTTCGCCCTGCCCGACGCCTGAGGCAGCAGCCCTCGAGGCAGGCGGGAGCACACCTTCTTGCCCGTGCCGGTGGGGGCTGGACACCCCTCCCTCAACGTGCTGGGCGGAGTTCTCGGCCACCGGCCGCACCCGCTGCGAAAGGCCACCCCTCGGAAGACCTGGATGCGGGGAAGGCCGGAGGCACGAGCGGTCAAGTTGGTGTTTTCTTCCTCCTCCTCCTCCTCCTCCTCCTCTTCCTCTTCCTCTTCCTCTTCCTCCTCCTCCTCCTCCTCCTCCTCCACGTTTGCTCAATATCAGTAATTACCACTCTCCACGCTCCCCGGATCATGTGCGAGCGGGCCCACTCTGACCTTGCATGATGAGCTTGCGCAGATTGAATTTCAACGTTGTGGCTGGAACGTTTTTGATTATTCAAAGTGGAGCTCCCATCCCGTTGAAGCGTTGGCCTCATTTCAGGATCGGTGGTCTGTTCTGTCGTTCAGAGTGGCGCTCTGTTCCCAGTGCGGGCCACCATTGTGCATCCGAGTGCTTCGTCGTAGTTGCCGCCTCCCGCTTTTTTTCCCCTCCACCGCCTTCCCCTGGTCCTCCGGCTCCTCTGGCTCCTCCTGCTCCTGTTGCTGTTGTTTTTCCTCCTTCACCGCCTCCTTCCTCATCCTCCTCTTCTTCCCGCCCACCCTCCTGCCCATCCGCCACCTCCTCCTCCTTCTCCTCCTCCTCCTCCTCCTCCTCCCCTGCAGTGTACACCGCTCCCTCCTCTGATTGCGCATCGCACGACCGGGCCATGTTCGTCAGGGGTTCCAGGTCCGCTATGCCCCTTCGCCGGCGGAGAGGGACAAATGTACCAACGCTTGGGTAAGGGAAGGGTGGGAGGGGTAGGATGTCACATATGGCGCGAGCGCACCTCACTTGTCCTCCCCACTCTCCTCTCCCCCTCATTTGCTGGAGAGCGCCCGTGTGCCTCCAGGGTTGGGGTTTGTGGGCTCGCCTAGCGCTCCTCCGCCGCCCACGCCCCGCCGTCGCCGTTGTAGCC